CCTGAGTGGTTGACAGTGTTAGCCAGGCACCATCTAGTTCTGGTCTCTGGGTCATGTAGGCTGAGGTTCACGTGGTCCATTAGTGCCCTGGACTAATTGTTTCCATACATCTTTGGTTTTCTTCATTCTTCTTTGCTCCAGACAAGGAGAGACCAATTGCTACATCTTAAATGGCCACTTGCAAGCTTTTAAGATCTGCCAGAGGGAGGGAGGCCACATCTTTTGACCTCCTCTAACCCCACAAGAGGAAGACAACAGAATCACCATCAGTAGCCCAAGGCCTACTCCTGCAAGGCCAGACATGCTGCCTCCTTTCAGCCCTTGCACCAACTGTTCCTCCCATAGCACCCACCACGTCTCTGCTGGGTTCAATAATTTGCTGCAGTGGCCACACAGAACTCATAGATTGTGGGGTTTATTAGAGAAGCAAGAGGCTATAATTCAATTTCAGGAACACACTCAGTCTCTCTCAGCCAAGTCTCTCTCCTAGCAGTGCATGTCTCTCAGTCTCTTTCAGCAGTACATGTCTCTTGTATCTCTCCCTCAGCAATGTGTGTCTCTCGTGTCTCCCAGTTGGTAGTGAGAGATTTCTTCTGCTTCTATGAGGCCTCCTTTTGAGCCTGGCAGAGTGACCAAATTAACCAATCACAACATCAGAATTCTATACACCTGAGCGAGCATGAACTTTCCAGAAAATTACTTCATGCTGCTCCCAACAGAAATACCCCAGGTGGATAACTTTAACAATCAGGAGCTACTCAGTTGCTCACAGCAAATTCCACCATGGAGTTTACAAAGACTTATGGCTAGAAAAACCACACTATGTAATTTACTACACTGCAAGATCCTAGTTGCCATTCACCAAACCAGGATGCAGAACAATGTTTTTGTGTAGTATGTTATGCCAATTGAGCTTGATGACCCCCACGACCATGGTCCCAAGCCCAGGAGCCCAACAACTTACTCCCTCAGGGTGGTTGGCTATGGCTAACACGTTATCATAACTTTGCCCTGCTAGCTCTATTATATATATGGACGTTCTTATAGCATATACAAGAGTTCTGGTGGCGTAGTGCCTAAGGCATTTGACTGCTAACCAGAAGGCTGGCAGTTCAAACCCACCAGCCACTCCTCGGAAGAAAGGTGGGACAATCTACTGCTGTAGCGATACTGCCTTGGAAACCCAAGGAGGGGTCACTATGAGTCAGATCTGACTCGACAGTTTGAGTTTGGTTTGGTTTAGTATAGCACATACAAATACATATGTAGAAATATCATCTGCCAAAATTATATATGGTCATGGGTATATTCCCTTTTGCCTAGACTACCTGATCATTCAGCCTATCTACCTATGCGTCTACCTGTAATGTTTATTACTGATAATGCAGCATTGTGTATATAACAATGTTGTCTATACCTCTTGTGAACCTCTCTGTGTCTTCCTTTTCCTTAGTGTTATTGTGTTCGTCACTCATGAAAAGGTCTTAATTTTAGTTTGGTTTTCAGAGGGAAGAAACTAGATGAAAAGAAAGCTAAATTGTCTCATTTACAAATGCCTATTGTAGGGACAATAACTCAGATTCTCTGATTTCTAGACCTTGTCTTTTCTAATATATTTTGCTACTTATTATTACTCTCCAAGTATTATTATGACCATTACCTATATTCTATCAAAATAATCTATAATATCTAATTTTCAAAGTGCCTCCACATACATTATCTCATTTGATACTTAGAAACATGAAGTAGAGAAAATCAGAATTATTCCACTGCTTGAGAATCTAACTTTCTAATTCTCTTTTGAATTCAGGGCAGTCTCTCAATCAATTAATCAATCTTTCCCCCTGATAATGATACTGATTCTTACCAGTTTTCCCCCCACCCAAGACATACTGCAATTTGTAATTCATTTTTCATACAGCAGTTCATGAACATTTTGTTTCATGACATTGACTGCAATCCCTACAATGTAACAGCTCACTTCATACTTCTGATTCTTAGCAGCTTTGAAAGTGCTAAACTTACCTAAGGTTTGGAGAATGATTAAGTCCTGTTTTCTATAGATATTGGAAAATCTTGTTTTCTTGATTGAATTTGAATGATCTAAGTTTCTTCTCTTTTATTTAAAAACTCCTGAAAGGGCATTGATTTGAATTACTAAATCATTTAGAAAAATTAGAGAAAGCTCCCTATTGCATACTAGAGATTCAGGATTTTTTTTTCCATCTTTGGTACAGGAAATCCATTTTTCACGTACTGCCAACTCTCATGTCTTAGTAAGTAAACATGAAAAAGGACAGAGTTTTAGAAGAGGAAGATGGCTATGATCTTTAGATTCATACTCTCACCAAACTCACTGCCATTGAGTCAATTCAACTCATAGTGCCCCCTCCTTGGGTTTCTAAGGCGGTATCTCAACAGAAGTAGATTGCCCAATCTTCCTTCTGAGGAGTGGCTGGTGGTTTTGAACTGCCAGCCTTCTGGTTAGCAGTCAAATGCCTTAGGCACTACACTACCAGAGAGGAACTTGCATTTTTGGAAACATAAAACAGACAAACAAGCCACACAGGGTCACAAGTGAACCACAGTACAGATTGTTTCTTTTGCCTCCCAACTAGGAACTGATTCCTGAGGTCCCCCACACGAGAGGAATCAATGATAGAGCTATGAAATCAACTCAAAATTCCACCACTGCTACCCCATTGTACACATATTCAGTTATGTGCAAGCATAATTCCACTCAAAATAAATTTGACCAAGATTCAGATTTAGTGTGTGAGAGCTCAGTCACCAGAAATGACACTTACTAGAGGAGCCAGGGAAGTGAGTGGAGGATACAAAGGGTCCAGATTCACATGAAGTATATTTGAAGACTACACATTTCGGTTGGTTCCCACAGTTGACTCAGGTAGGCATTTTCTCCAGACACACGCTTTCAGATAATAACTGTTGTTTAGTTATTTGTACCCTATTTATCATTCATGCATATAATTTACTGACCTATGAAGGAGTCATTGGATTGACCAAGTCAGGGACAAAGACAAAAACAAGATGTGGTAGATATATGAGTGGTCCTCACAGAACCAACGAACCTTTGTGCAGGTTGGCCACGCCACTTGCTTTGGCAAAGTGGACATCAGCCAGCATGATGTAGTAACTTGATAAGCACCTGCACACTGAAGCATGTTCTCTTGGAATGCTCTCTGTGTAAATTAGAGCCAAGTAAGAAGTCCAATCATCTTGAGACCATTGTGCTGCGAGATCAAAGGTACATGGCAAGGCTACATGGAGAAACAGTGAGGTGCCAGGCATGTGAGTGAAGCCTTCTTGTGCCTTCCTGACCAGCCATGAGCTAAATGCAGCTGAGTGGGGGCCCCAGATGATGCCATGTGAGCAGAACTACCCAGCTCAACTCTATCAGAATTCCTAACCCAAAGAATCAGAGGAAATAATAAACTGTTGTCTTAAGCAGCATTATGAAGTGATTTTTATGCAGCAATAGATGACTGCAACATAAAGTTTCTAAGAGAAAAGGAAGAAAGAAATTTGCATTCTGGGAATAGAGTAGTTTGTTTGTATACTGGGTAAACTGATTAGCTGGAAGTTAGCAAAGTAGTCAGTCTGGGACTTCTGTCTTTGTCCAAGAAAACAATCTGAGTTGTTTAAGGATTCTCCAGACAACCTTGAGAGCTTATCTATGGAGCAGACTTGTGTAATATTTACCAGTGTCCTTCTGTTAGCATCTCTGTCTTTGTTAATTCAAGTTTGCACCACTTCTCTCATTAGAATTTAAAAGAAGAAAACTCTTGAGATTGGGAAAAATGAGCCTGGAGGATCTGAACTGCCCCTCATCCCCTCATCCCCCACCAGCCACACACATACCCATGCCCCCATATTTTTAGACTCACTTAAAAACAGAGCAGTGGCATCAGCAATCTGTCTAGTCCTTCATTCAACAGCTGGGACTATCTAAAGATGGAATGTCTAAGAAGGCTTGAAACCTGGCAGACCTGAGGTCCAAACATGACACCGCACCGAGGAAACACTGGGGTCCTAGAAAGGGGAGCTGCTTAGTAGGGCTCAGAGGTTGATAGAAATTGGGACATCCCTACATGGTGGGAGTACATGGATGGTAAAGACAAAAGTGAGATTAGATGGTGACAGAGAAATATGGACAGAAACAGAGGAAAATGAAATTGAGATGAAATCCCCACAGAATTACACAAAGTGAATGCAGTACAATGAATTAGTTAATATGGCCCTTCTATCCATAGTCTCATTAACTCCCATCAAATGATTGCCTGGGTTTATAAAAATGAGGTGCTTGTGGCCCACCAAGAAGAAAGGACAGTTTGCACATAAAGCGCATGACACTCTTGTGGGAAAGGGACCTTGCAAATAAGGTGTATGGAACCCTAACTAGGGAACTAATCAGTTTTGCCATCTCACTAGGCTTAAAGGGAGACAGGGAGATAAGAAGGAGCTGTTACATTGAAGACAGTGAGTGACAACTGTACATTAGCAAGTTGATAGCAACACAAGACTGCTGCACTGCAGCTTGTTGACATACTAGTAGTAACGCTTGCCTAAGAAGCCTCTCATTGGGCCTGGCAGCAAAGGTCCTGGGAGCAGAGGGTGAGAAGCTGTCCTGATCAAGGAACTGCATCCTGAGTTGTTCCTGTTATTTCCAAGTCGATCCTGATCCTCAGTTGTACCCCGTTACTCTAATAAGTCACTTCACTATAAGTACAGTTTGTGAGTCTCTGAGACATTGCAGTGAATTATGGAACCCAAAGACAGAAGGGAGAATATGGAGGGGAGGGGGTGTACTCAATGTGAGAGATGATGGAATAGTATAGCAGTCTGGAAAAGTTGGATGCTTGGGACATCTTTAACGTCTACCTTATAGAAACCAGCTTTGTGCTGATACTTATAAAATAAATGATTAACTTAGTGTAACAGAATCAAACTTCATTTCTTCAGCAGATAGAATGAATCCATCACTGGTGACTGGGGCTCTGAGGCTGCACTTTTCTCCTCAGGAAGGTGGGCTGGAATGGGGTGAGTTGTGCTTGGCAAAGGCTGTGGTGGTTTCGGATCTAGGTAGAGGAGCAGAATTAGAGGAGTAGAATTAGAGTTGACTGTGATGCCTTTCCCATCAACTCTGACTGAACCTACCTGTGTTTCTCTATCTCCCGGGATAACTCCTATTCTTTACCATCTCTCACCTGCCTGGCTCCCCAGTTGCGCTTCAGGTCGGTCTCCCCAGAGCAGATGTTTGGGATCATTGAGGAACCGCTGGCTGCGCTGGCATGTTAGGCAAGTCTGTACCGTCCAGCGCTGTCCCTTGCGGCCTAGGGTGGATGTGGGGAAAAAAAAAAATGGAAGGAGGTGCCCAGGCTTATTTAGCAGGAGAAAAGATTTCCTACATCAAGTTTTGCTTCCACTGCTTTTCAGTAAGGAATTCTTTTTCTATTTTGACTTCTGCATATTTGATGGTATAGGCCCCCACCTAAATCCCATCAATTTCTTCACACTTTTGAAGATAAAGTCCAAATTCTTTAACAAGACTCTTCAAGATCTGCTCTGTTTCCCTTTCCAGCTTCATGTCTTGCCTCAGCCTACCTCAAACTTCAGCCTCTTGAACTTTCACTTCTCTGTAGCACCATAAGCTCCCTTGTCTGCAGTCCTCACACATACCTAAAATTTCTACTTCCCATTCCCTATGCTTATGGTGAATCTCACCACAACTGGCATAAGTAACTCAGTACTCTGCTCCAACTAAATAATTTTTCTACTCTATTTTAATTGTTTCTATCAGTCTGTCACAAAAGACTGCATTTTAACGAACATAAGAAATCCAGCACAATACCTGCCACATTTCAGAAAATTATTTGTTGAATGAATGGTGGTGGGAATCATGCACTCCACGCCGCCAAATAACATCTATTTTTTTATTTCCTACTGCCCAGGTTGGGCACAATTTAATCTAGATCTGGAGAAATCCCACCCTCGACGCCCAGCTAAAGCGAGGGGCCTGTCCCACTCTTTGGTCCCACAGACAGGAGCACTCACGTCTCTGGCGTTGGGTGCAGGTAAGGCCCGGGATGAGGAGGGAAGAGCAGCCTCGACAGAGGGTTCTCTTCACCGAAGGGTCTCTGGGGGTGAAGGAAGAAGGTGCTCGGGTGCCCGCGCTGCGTCTCTGGTTTTCCCCGAGTCCCGCCCACCGCCAAGCTCCGCGCCCGCTCACCGCCTCAGGACGAGCCGCTTCGCAATGGTCCTCTCCGTGTGGCAGTAAAACCTCGCCAGCGCCTGGTTCTCAGGGTCTTGAGCAAGGACGCAGTGGGCGGCCTAGGGGAGGGCAGTGGTCATTCCACAATCAGACACACTTGGCGCCCTTCCTGGTGCGCCCCAGCCCGGACCCACCTGGTACAAAAAGTTGAGTCTCTGGAAAGCCTCCCGGTCCTTCACTGGCCCCGCCATTCCAGCGGCGGTCGCTCCACCCAAGTCCACCCCTCAGCTTGCCCCGCCCCGGGCGCCCGCGCAAGACCTGCTGGGAATTGTAGTCCCTTGGACTGCGAAAAAATTCTGTGTGCGGCCCTCCGGTGGCCCTTACTTTGGTGCCACCCCGTGGTCACAGGAACCCATTTGTTTGTAAACCCAGTCCAGCAAGCCAAGGGTCCCTGGAAGTTTTGGCTTCCTTCCGGAGTCTTCCTCAAGCCCCAAATCAGTTATACCAAGCAGAGACTGGAAAGGTTAATGGAGATTTTACATTTCTAAACATCTGCAGGGCAGAAAAGTGAGTTTGTCTAGGCAAATAGCTTTGGAAAATGGTTAGGGCAATTAGTAACTAGCTAGACCTGCAAGCCCTGAAGCCAAAGGCATAACCACGTAACAGTGGTTATGCATTCAAAAGTGAAACTGGGAAGGACCGTGAGTGATGGAGAGAACTGGGGATGCTGCACAGAAAAGCACAGCTTGCTTTCACTCCTACTTACCAAAGAAACAGTACTCATTTGGCAGTTGTGGACATAGCAGGGGGGATCCTCACTTTGTGAGTGAACCATTTATAATTCCTAGTCTTTGGCACTAGAGCACAGAAACCTATCAATAGCATTCCCTAACTCTGAAACAACACCCCACTCCCGACATAGACATATATTTTATACCCCTACTTCTGACATTTTGTCTCCCATTTGTTTTATTTGGCATCCTGTTTACCTCGTCTTCATTGCTAATGACTGCAAGATCGTAAGTAGACATCAAATCAGTAGTAGATATCGAAAGGCAGAATGGAAATGAACCCTGATGACGGGAGAGGGCAATATAGGTCAGGAGAGGTTACCACCTCTCTCCCTTCAGACTCCTGCCAGGCTGATCCTAGTCCTCCAGCTCAAAGTAAATGGTTGAAACCTCCTGTAGGACGAGTTTCAGAAGGGTCCTCAGACAGCTGGGAGGAGTGCTTAAAATGCAGATGCTCAGGCCCCCAAAACCTTCATCATTCACTGAGAGTGAGACACAGGAACATTCATTTTTAACACCCCAGTGATTCTTACAGACATCAACACTAGGCCATTGAAAAATTACCACACAACACAGATCGCTTCAGTGGGTCCTTTGCTCCATATTATTTCAACCAACCAAAGCATCTTGCCACAAAGAACCACAGTCAAGGCACAAAGGTAAGAGGAGATTCTGGACAAAGTCCTGTTGAGGTGGTAGGAGGAGCTGAAATGCCCTCAGTAAACTGCAGTCTCTTGTCCCAATCTACTGTCAACTCTTGATTACCCAAGCAGAGATAATCCAAGTCATTTTAGTTTGGTTTGGCATGCATCACTTTACCTTTTTTGACAACATATGTACCCTGCAGTGTGTTTATTTTGGCCTAATAAAGTAATTTGCATTCTCTGAAAAGGGGAATGGCAAATGGTGAAGGACAGCAAAAAACAAGCAAAAGCCTGGCTCTTCTGAACATGAATACCAGGCCAGGTGCACATAGGTGAAAGGGAGTTGCCTATCTGGCGTTTCCTACCCATGCCACCCTTTTCTACCCGTTCTCAGGGTGAGAAAGACAACACTGCCTTTCTTCCTTTCTGCCTTGGACACCTCAGTCAGGTAACAAGGCTGACAATTTGAATAACTACTAAATAGCCTTCTTTAAAGGCAGGGCTTTGGATAGAAATACCTTTCTCTTTCCTTTAATACCTGACGCTCTCCCTTCCAAGTTCTTTTATGAAGGCAGAAGTGTCTGCAGAATCTCTTCCACCTCACCTCTGGGGAGGAGCAAGGTGACTGACTTCTTATAGACAACCAACTATAATGAGGCAGGCACTAAGTGAGCTGTGCTGGGCTGGTTTCTCCTGTTCTTCTTACCCTCTCTCTCTCTCCATGATTCCCCCAGCACATTCCTACTTCTGGCCATTCCTACTCATAATGGTAACCTTAGCCTGGGGATAGAAGACCAAAGAAATCCCTTCCCTAACCTTCGTTCTATCCTTAATGCCCAATCTCTGCCCCCAGAAATACTCCCCAACTTCTAAAACCACGACAGCAACTGTCATTCATCTTTATTCAACCTGGAGGTACAAAGACCTCTGATCTTCCTCACATTAACAAGACTATTCTGGGTCAAAGAAGCCCCTAATAGGATGTACAGGGGCTTCTATTTCCTCCTCCAGTTTGGGGAAGGCAGATTTTCCCCGTACTGACTTTTTGTTTCTGGAAAAGCCCCTCATTCCTTCCCAACCCATCCTCATACAACAGAAAACCTGATGGGCTTCAGGGGAAGCAACGCCCTGGGAACCAGCTCCTCACCCTGACAAGTCAGGAGAGGGACACGGTTGTGCTCTCATCCCAGCCCAGTCCTACTCCTCCACACAAACCATCTTAGAAACCAAGGTGTTTCTCCTACATGATTCAGGACTGGAACCAGGCAGATGGGAAGACATTCCAGCAGGACACAGGAAGGAAGACCCATAGCTCTTGACCCTGCCTTACCCCAAACATTTCCATGTCCCTACCTAACCATCACTCCCAATCTGTTGGGGGCCTAATGGTAAGTGGTGCAGCATTCTTCCGACCAGCCCGGATGCCTGGGTAGAACAGAGGCCAAAGTTTCTCAGTAAATGTGTCAGTGAAGGTATAGATATGGGAGCGGTCTGTGACATTGTAGAAAGACAGCGTGCCAGCCTCATAGTCTAGGAATATCCCCACTCGCTTGGGTTTCACCTTGATGTGCAAAGGGGTAAAAGGCGTGGTGGTGGCCGCGTATTTGTCCCCATTCCACAGCCGCACCCGCCAGTAGCCAGTCTCAGGAAGTGGAGTCAGTTCGCCTTTTCGGCTCACGGAGTCCTGGCACACACCTACTGCCCAGTGGGTCTTGTCGCCCACCTCCACCTCCCAGTAGTGTCGACCTGAGGTAAAACCCTCAGTAGCCAGGACGCAAGGATAGAAGGTGAAACGCCGTGGTGTGTCAGGGAGATCTCGGAGTCTTGTCTCCACGAACTTGACACTCTTACGATCTTCTGACAGGACTAGGTTAGGATGAGCGGTCTCAGGGTCCAGGGTCACGTCCGCTGGCGGGAGAAGCCAGAGTGGGGAGCTAGATGAGGACGGGAATAGCTAATCATCCCTGCCTCACTCTTCCAGCCTGCCTTTACAGAGCCTGTTCTCTTAAAGTCCTCAGCATACCACCGTTTGGTTAACTTTCTCAATTCAGGCTGTCACCTAAGAGAGGGGAGGGAACAATGGCTTCACTTTTCACCTTGACTCTAATATAAGCAGATAATGATTTCTTGGCTCTGTAAGGGCAGGTAGTCTAGGTTCCAGCCTAGTGCTCTTGCCCTCCCCCTCTGACATCATCTACCTCACTGTGTGGAGAAAAGCAAAGCACAGTCAAGGGCCAGAAAGAATGAAATGTGTTAAGACGGATACAGAGCAAGGCAGCATTATGGTCTAGGGACAGAGTGACCCAGTGTCTGCCTTCCTGGAACATTCTGGTTTATGCCTATTTCCCCTGCATAAATATTAATGGTACTTCCTATTCACTCTCAATAGTGTTCCAGTTAAGATGCTCAGTTATATGGTCACTCTGTCTGGTAAGTTGAGGAAATTAATTAACATCTCTGGGTGCCTATGTAAGAAAATACAGACAGAAGTGTAGGTGACATGTAAGGCTTCCTCTCACTAGACTTCTACGACTCAACTGAGAGTATCACTGAAAGCCACGTAAAGGAGTGGGATGAGCGTGCGCATGAGGAAGTGACGGGGGGCAGCTGAAGCCCAGATGAGGTAGGACCTAAGGATTATCTTTTCTCTGCTGATTCCCTCAGCTAGTTTTCTTTTGGGAGCAACTCACCAATGAGCTGTTTAAGGATCTTCCTCAGGGCAAAGTATTGCCGGGGGAAATTGCTGAAGTTCTTCTCCAGCTGTATGGACACGGAAGTCACCTCCATGGTCTTCACTTTCTCACATCTAGCAGGGGTTAGGAAATAGGGTAGGAGAGGGGAAGATTAAGGAGAAGCTCCAGCCAAGTAACCATTCAGATGTTATCATCTCTAGGGAGAAACTAAAATTTGCCATCTTCCCACTTTCTCCTCCTTCCCTGAAGATAAGCACATGCCTAATGCTTTCTTTCATCAATCTATTAAGAGCCATATAGTCTGGACAGGGACATACCTCGAGAATGAGTCTCAGAACTTTCTAGGGGTGTTTTTATATTTCATGAATAATGATACACATCCTTGCTTGTCCCAACCCCTTCCTCCTTACATCCTGTCTGGACACAATCATACCCTACAGAACAGAATGGAATCTGGGTCTATATTATCATTCTCCTTTCCAAGGAAGTCCCAACGATTTGCCCTCTAACTGGCTTCATGGGGCAAGGAACCTACTTCCACAACCCACCCAGATATTGCATGGCTTTCCTACCTTTATTCTCCTGACTCAATGGTACTCTTAGTCTCTAAGCTAAGACCTAACTTTCTCAAAGAAATCCATGAGATCACTTACTTTTCCAGGGTACTTTTGACATCCTAGAGGGAAGGAGACAAGAAAGCAATATTGGTCCTGGTAGTCCAGGGTCCTGAAGGCAAAAGATTCAACCCGCCCCCATAGTTCTAGAGCATAAAGTATGTATGGAGCAAACCAAGGGTCATAATCCAAGGGGAAGAGCAGCAGAGGGACCTGAGTGCACCTCTCCCAATGAAATCCCTACTTTCAACTTCAGTTGTCAAGAAGCTTGGTAAATTATATCACTTCCAAATGGTTTCATGTGTGTTTGTCTTTCTTCTTCAATGACAATGGGAGCTCGCTGAGAGGGACAGGGACTGTGTGTCTGCTCTCTACTCTGTCCCCCAGTACCAATCACATGGTTCAGTCCCCTTGAGGATTGGTAGACAATTCCAAACTGGTGGCATAGGAATGAGTCACAATTTCCTGTTGTGGTTTGGTATCACCTTTCTGGTATTGGTAAATAAACACTGATAACTGTGTCAACCTCTGATTTGAGAATACTAGGGGTCCAGAATACAAAGAAGACAAATCTCTGCCCACCCCCCCACCCGCAAGATCTCCTAGTTTAATGTGGAAGGCAAAACACACATACATGAAAGGACACAAGAATAAATATCAAACAATATATAACATGCACATAAATGTACAATAAAGGGTCACTGATTCAAATGCTGGTACTCTCATCTCTAAAATAAATGTCTCCTACAGTCTGGCTAACACCATTCATCTGCTTAAGAAAACAAGCTCTTTCAAACATTTGAGATGCACCATTTGCATATCAAAGCAATATAGTATCACACGTAATTGCAAGTGTCCTTTAAAGTATGTTACTCATTTTTTTTTTTTTTTAAGCCCGAGGTGAATCAAGTTCCAGGACTTAATAGGAATGGTAAGCATATTTACAAAATTTTTAATGCATAGTTTTCCATTACCTCAGACTAGATTTCCTTCCTTTCAAAATAGCAAATTTTTTCTTTGGTACAAATTATGCACATAATTATTTGACATAAGAACAGAAAAATGTTTAGAAGGGGATGGGAGAAGTCAGAGGAGCCTCTCAGGAGAAAAAGATCCTGTGAGCATGTCGAGAAGAACGGGATTTAGAGGAGCAGAGCAGAAGGGCCAGCGTCCCGGGCCACTAGAATGGCCTGTGCAAAGCTATACTGTGCTCAACCGAGGGGCAAAGGTCAAACCTTAAGCATCTCGAAGCCCGACTGTAAGCACTTGCCCTCCACCTCTGCAGCCAAGTGGGCCAGGTCCCGGCGTTTGTCCCCGAGGTGAGCAGCATTTTCTCGGAGTCGCTGCAGAATGTCCTGTTCCTCCTCCTCCAGTCGTGAAAGCAGTATCTGCTGTTCTTCATCCAGCCGCCTGTGAAGCTCCTCAAACTCCCTTAAGATCTGCTGTCGGCGTTTCTCTACCAGTCTCTGAGGACAGAGGGAGGATGTTATATCAGCAAGGCCAATGGGGTGTGAGGGAGTCCCCGTGCCCCATGTGTACAAATTAATAGACTTATAAAGTCATTGGAAATCATTTAATAGGACACTTGATCTTCTCATGGAATTTGCTTCTGTAAAGACTGGCCCTATCCCCAATGTTACCCTCTACTGATGACTTAGTAAGGTGAAGACCATTGAGGAGACTAAGAAAAAAAAGTCAATGATTTTAAGAAAATATTTTATTAAATTAACTTCTAAAATAGTTTTATTTTTTATGTTTTAATAAAATGCATTCAAGACATTACAACTCAGTAACTTGATGACATGTACTATTCAGATATTTCAGAGATAGCTATCTCTCTCTATTACCCAGCTCTAACGTTCCAGCTAATGCACTCTGTCAGGAAAAGGAAAGTACAAATATTGAAAGTTAGAGATAAGATTGTCATTATTTGTAATGACACTACCTGATAAAAACCAGAGAACCAACTGGGAAGGAAGAAGAGTTTAACCACAGGTTGTTGCTGAGCCTGTTACATACACAGTTTCTAGTCATTTCTGAGAATTGGCAGTTCCCACTCCAAGAAAGGGTTCCAGAAGTTTGTTGGTAAATTAGTTGCTTAAAATTTGAAAAACGTGCTTTCTCTAAGTCAGAAAATCCAAACCAAATCCAGTGCTATCATTTGACTCTGACTCAGCGACTCTATAGGATAGAGTAGAACTGTCCGATAGGGTTTCCAAGGCTGTAAATCTTTAAGAAAGCAGACTGCTACATCTCTCACAAGCAAAGCTGCTGGTGGTTTTGAATCACTGACTCTTAGGTTGGCAGCTGAGCGCTTTAACCACTTTGCCATCAGTGCTCCCTTCTAAAACCAGAAGATAGACTTAAACCTATTAACATCCCTAAAATTCAGTTAATTGTTGCTGGTTGCCGACTAGTCAATTTTGACCCATGGTGATCCCGTGTATGCAAAGTAGAACTGCTCCAAAGGTCTTTCAAGCTGTGATCAAGCTTTTCAGAAGCAGATCGCCAGGCCTTTCTTCTGAGATGCCTGTGGGTGGGCATGAACTGTCAAACTTTTGGTTAGTAGTTGAGTGCTTAACCATTCGTACCCCGAGATACACCTGAAATCTGATAATACAGGATTCTAATAAAACACCAGTCATATACTTTCTGAGCGTTAATCCTTCAGCATACCCTGCCTTCTCTTTACCAACAAAATTATCTCTCTAAAGGACTAGAAAAGCTTGACTGATGGGGAGAGATTAACCCAATAAAAAAGTAAAATGAGAAGCAGAGACTGGGACTCTGGCAGGAGGAAGTAGATAGAGACCGGAAGGCAGGACTAAGGAAGGATGAAAGCCAGCCTGGGCTTTACAAATTTGTCATTTCTGGTTTTCAGACTAGTTTCCAGCCAAGGCTGACTAGTTCCATTTCTCCTTTAAACACTTGCTGCTTCCTTTCCCACAGCTGCCTTCCCAGATATACTTTGGAACAGAATATTATCTCATCACATTTGCCCTACATATTAAACATAATAGTCTTCTTCTTTCTTTCCTTCTTTAGAAATGATGTGCACATAAAAGTTTCAGATTCATAACCATGGTAAACCACACTAGAAGTGTCTCAATCTCTTACACACCGATCATCCCTTCTCTTTTCTCTCTATAACCAGGTGGCAGTATATAATGAGGGTATTACCTCCTACTAGGGAGCTCTGGCTCGGAAGGAAGGTTGGGCAATCCTACTTCCGTAGTGATACTGCCTTGGAAACCCAAGGAGGGGTCGCTATGAGTCGGGTTTGACTCGA